ATAGTACATCAACTTAACAATTGAATTTGAATGCATTAATGCTGATTAATTCCTTCTAATATCTGTCAAATTTCTTTCAGCTCGAATACAAAATTACTACAACTGGAAAAAAATAGAAAATTGATTCACGAAATCTCACTAATGATTTTCAAAACATAAAGATATTTTCACCTCAATAGACGCACGAAAAAATTCTCTAAAAAATGACAAAAAACTTTTCATCAAATAAACGCTCAAGTTCATTTCACTTCTATTCTATTTTATTCCTTTATGGTTATATCACCTCTCACTCAGGTAGAGGTAAGTGGTGAGTTCATTTCATTTGATTTTTTTACCAAAAATATCCCGATATTTCATCCCTTAAACCTCAAACGACGTCACTGTAATTATAACAAAAGCATGTAATATTTCGAAGAAGGAAACGAAAAAAATGAAATGAATGGAAGTTCGGTAAGAATCGAAACTATAGAATAATCAAACACTCTCATTCAATTGTTAAAAAACAATAAATCACAACCGGAATCTTATGAAACAGGACAGATTAGTATTGGAACATATTCACCCCAAACTTTGATTAATACAACTATAAAAAGCACTTTTTTAATTGCACTAAATTGCAGCAACTTTCTTAAATTAATAAAAAAGTCCATTCACTGATATGTATAATATGAAATTCACGAGAGTCACTTATGTGATGATCGATAGAGCGATGAAAGTGATACTTACACAGTCAAACTTAAGATCCTTCTGGTACAGTACTCAACGTCGAACTGATGATGAGACACTCAAATGAGATTTTTTTCGATTGCATTATGATGCATCACACTGAATGTTTATATTAAGATTAAAAGTGTCCCGACAATAGTTCGAACGTCACCTTGAAGATACAAGACATCAAAATAGTATCAAATTACCGTGAGAATCAACTTCTATTTATTCAATCGAGCAAAACAATCGTTTAATATTTCATAAACTGGAAAGTTTTAAAAAATGATTCATCCTGTAATTCCTAAAAAAGTATTTTCAAAACACTTTCATTACCATAGATATAATATAAGAGAATTCATAAGGTTGAAAAATTTCATGTAAGATATTTTTTTGATATTCGGAAAATGTATTAAACATCTTCCATGAACATAGAAAGATTCGCACAACTCTTATAGTAAATGGCTACATTAAGATAAGTGTATTTTGTATAAGAATAGTTATAGATGAAAATTTTATGAATGAAATAAAATAGTGAAATTTTTATAAGAAACTGTTTCATACTGCTTAAATTTCTCTCGGTATGAAAAGTTCTCATAAGAAATTTTCTATCTCTTTATTTACAATATATACATCGATAATTGACCTTAAATTTGTCTTAGTTTACTAAGTTAAGAAACAGACCACTCGCTCCAGGCCCCTACCTCCTTACACCTTCCTCCCGCCTCTCCCCCTTCTGACCCAGGCTCAAAATCTTATACTACCGACTAACCCTTACCAAAATCATACCTAACCTTTTTGAACCTTGCTAACCCGTCCCTCAAACACCAAACCGCATTTCCGATCATAGCAACCCTTCTGAACCTCAGAAAGAGAAAATTCGAACCCCTCTGACCCTCAGAAAGAGAAATTCCAACCCTTCTGACCCTTACAAAATGAAAATCCAACCCCTCTCAACCTCACAAAAGAGAAATTCTAACCCTCTGACCCTCAAAAAGAGAAATTCTAACCCCTTTTACCCTGATGACTCATTTCTCAAGGTCAAAGTGGTCCAGAAGCGGCACTGCCTATCTACTCACTAAGTTGGCAGCAGGTCGATCCAACCTAACCTGGGCCAAATTTGGCGTTGAGATGTTGCCATCAGTGTATTCAAACCGTTGAATCGCAAAAGGGAAACAGAGGAGAATGTTTTATTTTTTCCCTTGGATTTTATATTTTTTATCTATTTCCATAATTATAATTGTTAACTAGAATATGCTG